CTGGGCCCTGACTCAGGCTTCCTGTCCAGGCGTCTTTGACTCATCCACACCCCCCAATCCTCACTGGAGTCCAAGTGTGCCCCCCAAGTGAGACCAGTAACACACCACATACCCCTCTACAGGCTTTCTGCAGGGTCCCCCCACCCTCTTGGCTGAGAACCCCAACTCTGCAACCCTAGCCGGCCCGATGCCTAAATCTCCCCTTGGTGGTTAGTGCGGTGTCGTCTTGCATACCTCCAGGACTGGGAAACTCGCTCTTTTTGGCTGCATAGAAGATCCTACGATTGACCCCCAAATCTGCCTCCATCAGCAGAGATATCTTTGTTTTTCATTTTATTTTTAATGCTAAACCAGACTTGTTTGTACACACACCCATGAAGGCAAGCAGTCTTCTGTCAGATGGGGAAGATTAAGATTCTGAAGTGGCTGATTTGGGGGCCTACGGCCACAGGAGGGCTTGCGTTGCTGCCGTCAGATGTGAGGTCTATTCACCTGACACCTCAGCAGGCTTTTGAAACGGCTCTTCCTCCCCCGGGCCTGCTTGCCCAATCCCCGTGACATACACGCTGGCGTTTCAGGTGGTTGGTGTACTTCTGTTTGCCCAGGTACTTCCCCACGAAGGGCAAGAGGTCAGAGTCATTGCTGGCAGCAGCGGTAGTCTTCCGGTCCAGTGGGCGTTTAGGTAACTTGTTCTCCAGAGCAGACTACAGCGTGCTTGCCAGTTCCCCGGTGTTCTCTCAGGCCTCTTACTCACAGAAAGGCAGAGTTTACCCTCTCGTCCTCTTAGATATCTCAGGAATTGCTTCCCATGCTCTCTCTCCACTTCAGTTTGGTCTTCAAAGAATGAGGCAGCGCGAGGTTCTCCGGGGCCTTCAAGGTGATAACAGGCCCTGGATACCTAAGCATCACTGAGGGGCAGCTCATCAGATGCCGCGGGATTAATAGCCACCCGACACTCCACAGAGAGGGGGTGCTGGGCTGCCATCTCAGCTTTAGGGAAAACCAGGCATCAGCTGGGCTTGGCAGAGAGATCTTTTAAAATATACATCTGAGCTTGCTCCCGTCACCCCCAGTCTCCGCAGTCAGCCTGAAGAGACCCGGGGAAGTCTGGTCTCTGCAGACGTCTCCTGCTCAGCCCTCCCAGTCCCAGTCAGCGTAGCCTGCCTACTTCCTCCTCAACCTTTGCACAAGCTGTTCTCGCTCTACTCCGAAGGCCCTTCTCCCTCCCTCCCTCCCTCCCTCCCTTCCTCCCTTCCTCCCTTCCTTCCTTTTTTTTTTTTCTTGCCTGCCTCTTTGATACCTCTTTAGGTGTCAGCCCTTCTAGGAAGACTTCCCCCACCCCTGGGGGAGGTAAGTAACCGCTTCGTCCCTCCCACATACATTGTATCTCCCCCAACTGGCCTTGCAAATTAGAATAGCCACTCACGTGCTGCCCACCTCTAAATTGGTGGCTGCCTGCAGGGCTCTGAAAGTCACCAGCCTCGACTTTTGTGGAAATTTGATTCTCCCCAGAACTGCACCCCCCAACCCACCACCCCCGGCTCTCCCTGGGGGCATCATTAGTTTAAAACCATCTCCTCTGATCTGCTCACCACAGGCCACCTCCCGAGAAGCACTGCCACTTGCCCAGCCCCTTGTGAAGAGTGAGTGACTACCAGCCATTAGAGGAACGGGAAGGGCGCAGCGTTTTCATTCGGCTGCCTCTACAGACTAAACGTTCCCGTGTAATTACAATTAAGGACACACTCAGATGTGCCTGCTCCTGGCTCTCTTGCCTCTCTCCTCCGATTTCCCCCCTGCTTCGGCCTTCTCATCCTTGGCTTCCTTCCCAACCTCCTCCGTCTCCCCACCTGCCTGCCCAGAAACTCCGTTTTTTCTTTCTTCCTGCCTCTCTTCATGTCTGTCTGTCCTCCTCAGTCGCTGTCTCTCTTTCTATAGCTCAAATTCCTTAATCTTCCCACGTCTTTCTCCATCGCTTCCTGTCTTCGCTGGTCTGCCCCACCTTTTCTTTCCGTCTTTGCCCGTCTTCAGAGTCCTTCTCGCCCCGCTGTCTAGGTCCAGCTTGCATTTTAAAGTGCACAAGCCTTACGTGTGTGGCCTAAGAATCATTGCATGGGCATACACCCGCGTAGCCACCACCAGGTCAAGACAGAACGTTCTCGTCCTCAGAGCTCCCGCTGTGCCCCCTCCCAGCCAGGCCTCCTCAAGGGTAACTGTGGTTCTTTTCTTAAATTTTTTATTTTTATTTATTTCAGAGACAGGAAGGGAGAGGGAGAGAGCGATAGGAGCATCAGTGATGAGAGAGAATCATTGATCAGCTGCCTCCTGCACGCCCCACACTAGGGATCGGGCCTGCAGCCCCAGCATGTGCCCTGACTGGGAATCGAACCTTGACCCCGTGATTCATAGGTCAATGCTCAATCACGGAGCCACACCAGCTGGGCTTGTTTTTTTTTTTTTCTTTTTCTTTTCCCACCCTGATCCTGGGACTGAGCACCCTTAACATCTTCTGCCTTCCCCAGGTGCCCCTCCAGGGCAGGGCCAGGCGAGGGGCCATGTGCCTGGGACCCCGAGAAGCCTCCTGTGGATGAAATGGCCCTTCCCAGAAGCCAAGTATGGCCCCCCCCAGAGGCCCCCAAGGGACTTACAGGCCCAGGCCCGGGAGACAGAGGTCCCTGTGTAGCCAGGACACCCTTTGTCCTAACGTTCTTTAGGTCCTGGTTCAAACAATCTGACGTTATTGCTTACAAGGCTCTTATGAAGACAAAGGCCCTCCCAGGTCCTTGACCAGACCTGTAGGTGAGCCTTTTAGCACAGGGGACCTTGAGGGACCGGGGGCCTTCACTTCTCCTTCACCTGTACGGACAGCAAAACTGAGGCCCAGCACGGGACCTGCCCAAGGGCACAGAGTGAGTCCGGACCCGGTAGAGTTAGGACCCAGGTCTCCTGGGGACCAGGGCAGGCTGCTCCCTATTCTTTCCCGAGCCTCAGTTTTTCCCATATGTGAAATGGGAGGTTGAGGGTTGAGTTAGGAGATGCTGGTCTCTTGGCTGTGAATCTGAGGCTTTGGTCCCTGCCCCACTCAAGTGGGCAGTACCGCGGAGAGCGGCAGAGGTGCGGGTGCGTGGGTCGGAAGCTTTCCTCCTGCCTGTAAAGTTCAAGGTCGAATGTGGGCCTCCCAGGAGGGAGAGCAGGTTATGCAAATGCACACCCTCTCCTGTGTAGTGTTGTGAGTTTGTCCGCACTTTCCCTGGTGAAATAAGACACGGGAAGGATAAGTTTTGATAGAGGGAAGGACTGGGCTTCTGAAACGAATCGAATCCTGACTCATCCTGTCGGAATCCCAGATTCTCCCCGACCTGTCCCGCCTCCACGCCTGCTCAGTGGCCCATCCCTGGTCCACTTCAGCGCCAGTCCTTTGCTAGGGGAGTCCGCCCGCGGGGCCATGCTTTCCCTTCCTGCCCGCCCTACCCAAAGCCGCCCAGTCTCTGAAAACAGGGCTTTCCCAGCCTGACACATGTTTTCTCTCCCCGACAGTGACCTAGCCCAGGGCTGTGCCTCTAGTCGCAAAGCTATCCTAATATATAAAGACCCAGGGTCCGTCATGACCTAAACGTCCAGACAGATGACCGAACACCAGGCTAGGTTCCTGGATGGCATGGCGGAAGTTTGTCCTGGGTCCCAGAGGCACGACAGGAGTTGGTCCTGGGTCCCGGTCGCCCATGGTGGGAGTTGCACGGCGTGGCGGCAGGAGGGAGCTGTGGGAACGGAGTCATGCTGCAATCGGACTGGCCTCTTGGTCCCTCCCCCCCATCCCCCAACCCCGGCCTGCAGGCCCAGGGAACCAGAGCCATGCTGCGATGGGACTGGACCCTATCTGAGGGGTCCTGGATTGTGAGAGTGTGCAGGCTGGGCTGAGAGACCCCCCGAAGTGCACAAATTTTCATGCACCAGGCCTCTAGTAATATTTATAATGACCTTCCTCCCCTTCTTCCTCCTCCTCCTCCTCTTCCTCCTTGCATTTACAGAACAATCACTGTGCCAGGCATTGTGCTAATGGCTTGACCTGAATCTTCTTGGATAATCCATTGTTCACCGGACTTTGAAGACAAGCACAACCATTGTCCCCATTTTACAGCTGAGTACACTGAGGCACAGAGAGGGTGCAATATTTTGGCTAAGGTCATGCAGTCAGTGAATGGCAGAGCTGGGATTCGAACCCAGGTCTGGATGACCCCCCGATGTCACCCCGACTGGAAGTGAATGTCAGAACATAAGCTCAGCTTCTCCTCTTCCCTCCATGTGGCTGAAACTGAGTTTACAGACACCAGAACGCCTGTTGTCAGCAGCTCCTCTGGCCTCTGATAAATCGAGAGAATTAAAATCCATTTAGAGGGAAATCTCTAAATAGGTCTGTGTTGTGTTTTGTGTGTGTTTTTTCCTGTCTTTTTCCCCCTGCTGTCTCCGCCTGGGTAATGTATTCCAGGAGCAGAACTGAATCTGACTTAATTGAATTTAAAAGCAGGTATTACATCTGCACCTTGTAAGCAAAGGCGGGTGGAGGAATCGCTGCGAGATGGAGCGTTTCTCTCCAGTGTCGCCTGGATCTTTGTGCCAAGGAAGTGGCGTGGCGAGAATCTTTGTTCAGGGCTACTTTCTGGGGCTCTTCCAGGGCTGGGCCCTAAGAGGGTGGGGTTTGGAGGGGGAGAGGCCATGGGGACTTGCAGGCGAGGGGCTCCTGGGCCTCTGAGAATGGACACAGTGAACCCTGTTGCCTGCCAAGGCCGACTTCGGAGGTGAGGCCAACCAAAAGCTGATGTGTCACCCCCTCCCTGCTGCCTGCTAGCCCCACCTCCAAACCGTGTCCCCAACTGCCCCTTCTCACCGTCTCCCCTGCCTCCACCCTGACCCGAGCACCCATCATTGCTTGCCTGGACTCACTGTTCCATCCACAGCAGCCAAAATGACTTTTTTTTTTTAAGAGACGGGGCTCGCTATGCTGCCCGGGCTGGAGTGCAGTGTCTATTCACAGGCGCAATCCCACTGCTGGTCAGCATGGGAGCTTTGACCTGCTCCGTCTCCGACCTGGGCCGGTTCACCCCTCCTTAGGCAACCTGGTGGCCCTTCCGGGAGGTCACCATACTGATGCCAAACTTAGCGCGGACACCCGATCGGCATAGCGCACTACAGCCCAGAACTCCTGGCCTCAAGCGATCCTCCGGCCTCAGCCTCCCGAGTAGCTGGAACTGCAGGCGCTCACCACCGCGCCCGGCATGTTATTGTTTTCTTTTTAAATTGTAACTCTTTTTTTAAAAAAAGTATTTTTAAATTTATTTCAGAGAGGAAGGGGGAGGTAGAGAGAGATAGAAACATCAATGATGAGAATCACTGATTGGCTGCCTCCTGCACACCCCACTTTGGGGATGGAGCCCGCAACCCGGGCATGCGCCCTGAACGGGAATCAAACCCTGACCTCCTGGTCCTAGGGTGATGCTCAACCACAGAGCCACGCCGCTGGGCAGAACTTCATATCTCTTAAGGCTGCGTAATATTCCGCTGTCTGGATGGACCACACTGTGTTTACCCACCACGTCAGTGGACAGGGGTTGTTTCCAACGTCTGGCTGTTGTGAGTCATGCTGTTATGAACATGGGTGTGCAAACGCCTATTGGAATCCCTGCCTTCAGTTCCTTTGGAGATACACCCAACAGCAGAATCGTGTTGTATGATAATTCTATGCCAGAATGATTTTTAACAAATGCCACTTACTCTCCATTCTAAATTCTTCCCTGGCTCCCTTTTGTCCACAAGAAAGTTGAAACACCTTCCCAGGGCCCTCCAGGCACTGCCCACTTCTCACGCTGCATCTTCCACGACGTTTCCATCTGCCAGCCCCACCAAATTACCTTCACGCGCCCAGGCCTTCACACATGCTGATTCTCCTCCCTCCTGAGGGCTCTTCCCCATTTTGTATTTCGGCTTGATATCTTTTTTAAAAATACATATTTTTAATTGATTTCAGAGAGGAAAGGAGAGGAAGAGAGAGATAGAAACACCAATGATGAGAGAGAATCATTTATCTGTTGCCTCCTGCACACCCCACACTGGGGATCAAGCCCAAAATTCAGGCACGTGCCCTGACCAGGAATCAAACCGTGACTTCCTAGTTCATAGGTCAACGCTCAACCACCAAGCCACACCAGCGGCCTTGGTCTGATATCTTAATTCTGCCTCAGCCTTCACCTCTCAGCTTTTTCTGACCCTGGGGAGCCTTCCCTGGTCTCCCAGGATGGATCAGGCACCCCCTGTGCTCCCGGAGCTGCCCGAGCCTCCCCCACCATGGGCCACAGGCGGCCTGTCTGTCTTTGACACCAGTGGTTGGAGCTGGGTCTGCCTTGGTCACTGCTGTGTTTCCAGAACCCAGTCAGGGATGCAGCATACAGTAGGCGCTCAATAAATGCTTGCTGGATGCTGACATCATTCTCTTCTCCCGTAGACCTTATGTCCTTGGGAAACAAGACACAACCACTTTCAACTTCCTCCATCTCATGGCGGATTTCTAACCGTACCTCGGGCTGTCGATTAGAAATAGGCCCAGTCAATGTGCTTGTTTTTAGCTCTGCAGTACGTCTGTGAAGGATGGGCGGGCAGGTGGGAGTGCTATTAAATGGGGAGGATTTTCTCTATGTTCCAGATTCTGGGCAGACTTTCTTCAAAAAGCTATCTGGCCCGATCTCAAAATGAGAAAGTCATTAGGCACACACACTCGCTCGCTCTCACACACACATTGCAGGAGACCATCTCATTCCTGGGGGGAAAAAAAGCAATTAATACACAACGGCAAATGCCACAGTCTGCGCATGGAGACAGTGCGGCCACCGCCGACAGGGAGCAAGAGGCAATGGTGTTTTGTTTTTGTTTTTCCCCCCAAAGCACGTCAGAGTTCTCCCCAGAAGAGTTGACAACTGAGTTAGGGAGTCGAGAGATTTTCCTTGTGCCGTGTCTTAGGCTGGGAAGCAGTCCCAAGGGGGAGGGGAGGAAGCCAATGTTCATGAGCAGGTGACTGCCAAGGGCAACTGGGACTCAGTGCCAGTGGGGGCTCCCGGGCGATGGCGGAGAACATGCCTTTGAGTTGTGCCTCCCGAGGTACAGGAACCGGGGTATCTATGTCCCTGGCCGAGGGCTGCTCCCTGAAGCATCCCACCTGCCCCCACCCTGCTGAGAAAGCCTCGGCGACGGAGAGGCTGCAACTGCAGAAGGGTGCTGTCGGCTGGCCTTGAAATGTGGGCGCCAAGGGCATGCGGTGGGACAACTGCCGCATCTGCTGCACACAGTGGCATTCACAATGCATCGCCATTCATTTAAGAAGACTTGTCACCTGGCTGGTGTGGCTCGGTGGTTGAGCGTTGACCCATGAACCAGGAGGTCACGGTTCGATTCCTGGTCGGGGCACATGCCGGGTTGCAGGCTCGATCCCCAGTGTGGGGTGTGCAGGAGGCAGCTGATCCATGATTCTTTCTCGTCACTGAGGTTTCTATCTCTCTCTTCCTCTCTGAAATCAATAAATTAAAAAAGATTGATCAGTTCCCTACTGGGTGTCAGGTGCTCTGCTGGGGGCTGGGCCAGTGCTGGTCAAGACAAACTCAGCCGCTCCTTCTGGAACTCGAGGGCACATATCCAGGCAGTTACGTTTCTGGCGGTTAGACCTGCGGTGGGAAAGGCTCAGGCGTCTGAGGCAGCTCAGGGGGGACTCCTCTCCGCCTTGGGCAGGACTCAGGGAAGCTTCCTGGACGGTGACTTCTAACGATGAGTGAGTAGGTGCTAGATGCCTAAGGAGGAGCAGGGCAGGGCAGGAGAGTGGAGTAGTGCTTGGACTAGGAGAATTTTCCAATAGTTTAGACTTTTTCTTGAGGGCATTGGGGAGCCACGGAGAGCGATGGTGGAGAGGGGAAGGGTCAGGCTTATACTTACGGTCGGTCGCTCTGCTGTGTGGATGCTAAGAGGCTGTCAAGGGGGCTGTTGCAGGAACTCGTGTTTGTCTGAACAAGGTAGGAAGGGGTAGAGAGAGGAGGTGGTTTGGAGACAATAATAATGAAATCAATAAGTCTTGGTGAGGGTGGAAATAGGGTAGGGATAAGGAAGGGAGAGGTTTTTAAAAAACATTTTTTATTGATTTTGAGAGAGAGAGAGAAGCATCGATGTGAGAGCAGAACACTGATAGGCTGCCTCCTGCATGCTCCCTACCAGGGATCGAGCCTGCAACCCAGGCATGTGCTCTGACCAGGAATCAAATTGGCAACCTTTCGGTGCATGGAACGGCGCCCAACCTACTGAGCCACACCAGCCAGGGCAAGAAAGGGAGATACTTAGTCTTGTTTCCAGATTTCCAGAAAAACTTTGGAACCTCTGTTGAGTTGGGACACAGGACGAGGAGCTGGTGCAGGGTAAAGCGATGCACTGAGGGGTGGGTGGGTTGTACCAGGACAGCCAAGAGGAGGTGACTGGGAGGAACTGGCTAGAGCTCTGGAGCCACATCTGATTGGAGTGGAGTTCAGGGCATCGTCAGGGGGTTAAAGCTGTGGAAACAAGTGTCTGAATTTGGACCACCCAGGAAGAAGGCCAGAGCATTAAAAAATAATAGCAAATGAAGTTCAGTTTTCTTTTCCCAAAGCAAATGTTAGAAGCCCAGCTCTCTGGCTTGGTGCACCAGCTTCAGTTCTCCCCAAGGTGGTGGTCCCTGAAAACCCATCAAACCTCCCAGTCTGCATTCTTTGGCCTCGTGCCCACGGCTGACCCAGTCAGGGGGCCAGTCGGAACAGGATTCAGCGATTGGCTGAATTCACCTAACCCTAACCCTAACCCAGGGCTATTGGGTGGCAATAAACCATAGGATTGGAAGGGGGAACGGTATAGATTGGTCAAGATAACACTACTTACTGTAATGCACCCGCAAACCTCCATGACTTGATAAAGTTTGTTTCCATATAAAGTGGAACCGGGGGTTTCTGATCAGCTGGCGGCTTTTCGAGACCCAGTGACTCGGGGACCAGCCTCTTCTGTCTTGTGGCTCCTCCGTCCTCTCTGCGAAGAACATGGCCAGGACTGAACGTGATGGGCACATCACTCCCACCCCCGTTCCATTGGCTAAATTCAGTCACGTGTCCACCTCAAACACAAGGGGTGCTGGGAAATGTAGCCTTGCTGTGTGCCTGGAAGAAAGAGGGTGGGGCAGAGCCCCCAGACAGCAGCCAAGTCAGGGCAGTGCTGCTTCCTGACGGCGGGGAGAAGAATGCAGGCTGGGAGAGGACACAAATACCCAACAGGAGGACCTCAACCCCGAAAAGCATGCAGAGAAATTCTCTAATTCACCTCCTGATTAAAGGGACGGGAAATGTCCTCTCTAGTTTAGAAGCTCCTTTTGGGTAGGAACCTGATGTGTCTTGGTCAAGACGTTGTCACTATAAACGATGCCTGGCACACAGTAGGTGCTGGATATGCATTTACTGAATGGGTGAATGGATGGCTAGGTTGGAGGGTGGATGACAGGCTGAGTGGTGGGGAGATAGTGAATGGGTGATGGATGGATGATGGATGAGTGGATAGACAGTAGATGGTTGGTTGGATGGATGAATGGATGGATGGGTGAGACCATCCATTTATGAATGAAACCAACCCTTCTCCATCTTCGGGCTGCACTGATATGGCTATGGACGCCGATAGTGTGAACCCCCCAAGAAACCCCTGGCCATAATTGTAGAATCATGGGGCATGGGGACAGTCTTCTGCTTTTCAGGTAGATGGACGCCCACCTGATGGCCATGAGAGGGTTTTAGGTGCTACATGAAACCCCTTTAAATACCCACCAAGTCTCCCCGGGAGAGAGCTGTTCCTTCCACTTCCTTTTAAAGAAGAAAGTCTTACTTGGGTGCTAGTTAGTCTTTAACGCCCCCCCCCAACACATGGGGGTCCCCCTTTGGACAAAGAAAGAGAGCAGGCCCCAGCTCAGAGCCTCAGAGACAACTGTCTCTTGTCAGAAATTAATAATACGATTTTGTTTATATTGAGTTAGCTTCTACTTATGGTCAGGGATGCTGGCTTTTCATTTATCGTCATGATAAATAAG